TTGAAATAAAGCACACCACGCAACATAAAACTTAAAATAGCAAATACAAGATTAAAAATATAGGTACGAGTTAAAGGAATATTTCAATCCAGAAGTATCTGAAGCGTAGTGAGATGCTTATTCCTACCTATAACAACTGCAGCGATTCACTTAACAACTACGGCAAGAAAGGTTGTAAAAGGGAGCAAAACTCACTTAACCCGTCTTGCTTAACAACAGTCATTTTGGGGTTCAATCGTGATCGTAAGTTGAGGACGACCTGTAATTGTTTGAGCAACCATTTGTCTTGCCTGTTTCTTTGCCGTTTTTCTATCCCTCTGAGGGTTGTGAGCGTCCCTGTCAGTGGTAATCAGGATTTATTAAAAGAAGCCAGCCGAGAGGCGGGAGAAAATGTTTTGCAGAGATTAAAGAGGATTGTGAGCTGATCTTGGGCTGAATTGCTAGGCAGCTGGATCTGTTTGCTTAAGTCAGCATCTCGCTTAAGGAAACTGCTTCTTCTTTTTTTTTTCCTGTCTCTGCCGTCCTTGAGTGCAGCTTTAGAAGAAGGGAGATAGACAACATTGGAGACCTAACGTTGAAGATAGAAGTAGTCCTTGACTTACAACAGTTTGTTGAGTGACCGTTGAAGTTACAAGAGCACTGGAAAAAGTGACTCTGGGTCGTTTTTCACATGACCGTTGTAGCACCCCCTTGACCATGTGATCAAAATGCAGATGCTTGGCAACTGGTTCATATTTATGATGGTTGCAGCATCCTGGGGTCACGTGATCCTCTTTTGCGACCTTCTGACAAACAAAGGGGAAGCCAGATTCACTCAACAACTGTGTACCTAACTGTCATGCCCCTGTTGGAATCTGATTCCGAGGAGGAGGTTGAACAGCTGACAGGGAGTGGGAGTGTGGCTCCGGTGGCTGTGGAGGAAACTGGGGAAGGGCACAGTCTGGCTGGGCATTCAGAGGAAGACCCAGGCCCACCCCCTCTTCAACCTAGGACACGCAGGGAGGAACAGATAAGGGAGCAACGTGGGTTATGGGGGAGAAAAAGGTCCTGATTCCCTTCATTAGCTGCATCTGGGAAAACAGGATTTAAAAAGGGCGTTTGCGCAGAGCACCTTGCTGGAAGCAAAGCCTGCATTATCTTTGTCAAGTCTTATCTGGGTTCTGGCATCCTCTCAATTGTGTGTGTTTCGTATTCTTTTGAAGTCTGCAATTCTTTATCCTGCGCTGTCTCATTAATTGCTGCAGTGTGGTTTGTGTTGGTTTTTATTTATAATTTATATGTACTTTGGGGTGAAAAGGAATTTCTTCTCTTTAAAAACTGTTCTTGGGAGAGTTTTTTCTCCAGCCGATGATAACTGGACACTGGAGGCCAAGTTGGAGGAATTAAAGGGACTTTACCTACTTTTGTGACTTTGTTCCTTTTGTGCCATGCCCCTTTGGGTCATCACACTAACTGAACAATTGCAGTGTTCATTTCACTTAATACCTGTGACGGGTTATAAAAGGGGGCAATTTAATTTCACCAATATCTTGCTTAGCAGCAGAAATTTTGGGCTCAATTGTGGCCATAGGTCGAGAAGGACTACCTGTACTTGGGGGGGGGGGAGCAACCTGGCCTCTCCTTCCAGCTGAAAAGACCTTCCCTCTCCCTCAGTGTTAATAAGCTCAGAGGAAAAATACTCGATCCATCCCAGCATGCACTTTTTTTGAACTTGAGTAAGGTGTGATAACATCTTTAAAGGAGATAGGAAACTTTGGAAGGGTGAGTTCTATTCCTGCCTTTGGCATGAAAGCTGGTGGGTGACTTTGGGCCAATAACCAGGAGATCATGAGTTCTAGTCCCACCTTAGTATGAAATCTGACTGGGTGAGTTTGGGCCGGTTACCAGGAGAACGGCGAGATCTAGTCACAAATTAGGCATAAAAACCGGCTGGGAGACTTTGGACCAATCACCAGGTGATGGTGAGTTCTAGCTCTGCCTTAGGCATGAAAGTCATCTGGGTGGCTTTGGATAAATCACCAATGGATTGTGAGTTCTAGTCACAGATTAGGCATGAAAACTGGCCGAGAGATTTTGGGCCAATCACCAGGAGATGGTGAATTGTAGTCCCGCCTTAGATATGAAAGCCAGCTTAGTGATTTGGGGCCAGTCTTTCCCTTTCTTTCCCTTTCTTCTCTTTCTCCTTCTTTCTCTTTCTTTTTCTTCTCTTTCTCTTTCCCTTTCTCTTCTCTTTCTCTTTCTCCTCTTTCTCCTCTTTCTCTTTCTTTACAGCCCAAACCACCTCACGGGGTTTGTTGTTGTGGAGAAAACAAGAGGAAGAAGAATTGTTAGGTATGTTCACTGCCTTGGATTATTTATATAAATAATCATGGCAGAATCTAAATAAAGCACATCAAGTGTGAACATATTAAGATATTGAATTTAGTTCTCAGAACAGCAAAGTGTACAAGACACCAGAACACACAAAAATTGTAGTGGATTCGTTAGAGGGCGCTGACTCATGCATGAGGCAATCTACGTGCTGATTGGTTGCCATGGGTGGAAAGGGGGAGTTTTCCCCTTTTCCCGCCTTTTTTTCTTCTGTGGGTTCTGTATACTGTAAAAATTTACCTCATGATGATGTTGCTGCATTCCAGATAGTCTTGTGTTCTTCTTTTTCTGGATGATGACAAAGACTGTTGTCAATTTAAACGTTAAATATATTTAATATTTATAGAAAAGACCACATGTTTGTGTCAATGTCTCTGACTTCATCTGGACCCTGACAGAAGACATGAAAAAAAAATGGCTGGCTTCCCACAGCGCAGTTCTCCAATTTAATTTTAGCCATTATACAGTCAACCTCCTATAGGCCTTAATTTGATTTTCCCTGCTTTCTTTTGTTTCTTTCCTTGTTTATACCTGCAGCCAGGCCAGGGTAGTTTTTTTTTTAAAAAAACAACAACGGCGACTAATCTCACTTAGAGACGTGAGGACAATGAAAGCATGCAAATATCCCTAAAAGGCATAAGATTAAGGAGGGAAACGCTTGTTTGTCCAAATAAGGATAAAGTTCTTTTCGCATCTTTAAGCGTTTTGTTTTTCCAGGAAGCAAAATGTGAAACTTTGAAGCTTCTGCTTTGGGGGGGAAAAGAATATAATAATAATAATAATAAAAAAGATAGCCCTGAAAACTTGAGGCATGGTAAACATGCACAAATACAAAGTAAAATCTCTCAGGCCATGTGTCTGATTGCGTTTGTGTGGAATTTGCAACTCATCTCCATGTTTCAGCCACGTCTTTACAGCCCCAATCTTGGCTGTAGTTTTAAGCTGGATTGAATTTTGAATTGACAAAGCCGGCAGAATCCTGAGCCTCCGGCTTCCTTTCGGCTCCCATTTTATCTTTTTGTGTTCTGGGGGTTGATTTGCGTTGCGTTCCCATTATCTGGCTTTTTTCCCCCCACCTCCCAAATCTTTGGAGGGAGACAATGCAATTTCACCGTTCTCAGATACGGGCTGTTGGGGTTTGGGCGAGAGAGGCTGCACTTTGGCTGTGGTTTCCCAAAAAGATGGAGACACAGAGCAACAACTTAGTAAGGTTTCCTTATTCCGTAGTCCTCGACTTTAGGTCCGTAATGGAGCCCAAAATTTCCATCGTTCAGTGAGACAGTTTTGAATGAATTTTTCTCCCTTTTACGACTTTCCTTGACACAGTTGTTAAGTTAGCAATAACAATAGCATTTAGACTTTTATACCGCTTCATAGTGCTTTCCAGCACTAAGGCAGGACTAGAATGTATCCTTTCCTGCTTTCTAACCTGGTGCCTTCATGACATATGAACTGTTTCCTCCAATGTTCTCCAATATGCAGGCCTTCAAGGGCCAACTTTCCTAGTCATGTTGTTGGCCAGCAAATCTGAGAACCAAAGTCCCAGCCACCTGGGAACCAGGTTGGAGAAGGTGGTTGGGAATGTGCAATGCTGAGTCTGTTTCTGCTGTTTTGACATGAAGCGAAGTGTTTGCTTATTCTGGTTTGCGATCTCTTTTCTCCCTTTTGGGCCAAGGATAAGTCAGCGTTCTTGAATTATGGCACCCAGTGGTGGGATTCAATTTTTTTTTTACTACCGGTTCTGTGGGCGTGGCTTGGCAGGCATGGCTTGGCGGGCGTGGCAGGGGAAGGATACTGCAAAATCCCCATTCCCTCCCCACCCCACTAACCTGCTTTCCAGCTCCATTCTCCTGTGCAGGGCAACCAAAGAAGACCCAGCCGATCAGCTGTGGGTGTGGCTTGGTAGGCATGGTGTTCTGTGGGCGTGGCTTGGCTTGGTGGGTGTGGCAGGAGAAGGATACTGCAAAAAACCCATTCCCTCCCCACCCTACTAACCTGCTTTCCAGCTCTATTCTCCTGGGCAAGGAAACCAAAGAAGACCCAGGCAATCAACTAGGAGGCAGAGAATAGATGGGGGTGGAGCCAATCAGAGGTGGGATTTGCCGGTTCTCTAAACTAGTCAAAATTTCTGCTACCAGTTCTCCAGAACTGGTCAGAACCGGCTGAAGACCACCTCTGGTCCCCATCCCACTAACCTTGGTGGGCGTGGCAGGGGAAGGATATACTGCAAAATCCCCATTCCCTCCCCACCCCACTAACCTGCTTTCCAGCTCTGTTCTCCTGTGCTTGGCAACAAAAGAAGACCCAGCCGATCAGCTGGGACTCAGGAGGTAGAGAAGAGATGGGGGCAGGGCCGGTCAGAGGCGGTATTTGCTGGTTCTCCGAACTACTCAAAATTTCCGCTACTGGTTCTCCAGAACTGGTCAGAACTGGCTGAATACCCACCTCTGATGGCACCGCTCTTGGAGGTCTGAATAGGAGGGGAAGGAAATGCTTTTCAGTAATGGGCTCTCTGTTTTTCTTCTTTTCTCTTAGGATAAGCAGCACCCCAGGATCTGCACTCTGGCAACCTTGTTTATTGTTTTCCACCACGCTTCCAATTTAGGAATACAAAAATTACTTTTGCCATCATGTCAGGAGACATGTGGAGATGGACCTGCCTTGGCTTGCATCTTGTCTTCTGCACTGTGGGTCCATCTTCGGCCACTAGGCTGCTGCCCTCTCACCCAAAGAAACCTTTCTTGACCTTCTCCTCAGAATCCACTGAGATCTCCTTCAATCACTTGGTGGTCGACAAACGGAAAGGATCTATTTACGTGGGGGCTATCAACTGGATCTACAAGCTCTCCAGCGACCTGGTGGTGGAGGCCCGTCACGAGACAGGTCCGGATATTGATAACCCCAAATGTTATCCTCCCAGGCTGGTCCAGCCATGCAACGAACCGTTGACCTCCACCAACAACGTCAACAAGATGTTGTTGATCGACTACAAAGAGAACAGGTTGATTGCCTGCGGCAGTTTATACCAGGGGATCTGTAAACTCTTGAGATTGGATGACCTGTTTAAACTTGGGGAGCCCTTCCACAATAAGGAGCACTACCTCTCTGGGGTGAATGAGAGCGGCTCCGTGTATGGAGTCATTGTTTCTTACAGCAACATGGATGACAAGCTGTTCATTGCCACAGCGGTCGACGGGAAGCCTGAATACTTCCCCACCATCTCTAGTCGGAAGCTCCCGAAAAATTCGGAAGCGGAAGGAATGTTTGCCTACGTTTTCCACGATGAGTTTGTGGCTTCCATGATCAAAATCCCATCAGACACGTTCACTATCATCCCAGACTTTGATATCTATTACATCTACGGCTTCAGCAGTGGTAATTTTGTCTATTTTCTGACCCTTCAGCCTGAGATGATTTCCCCGTCGGGTTCTACCACCAAGGAGCAGGTCTACACCTCAAAACTGGTCCGCCTCTGTAAAGAAGACACAGCCTTCAACTCTTACGTTGAGCTGCCCATCGGCTGCGAAAAGAACGGGGTGGAATACCGGTTGTTGCAAGCCGCCTATTTATCGAAGGCGGGATCCATCTTGGCTAGATCTCTGGGGATCCTGCCAGAGGACGATGTCCTCTTCACAGTCTTCTCCAAGGGGCAGAAGAGGAAGCTGAAATCCTTGGACGAGTCGGCCCTTTGCATCTTTCTTCTGAAGAAAATCAACGACCGGATCAAGGACCGGTTGCAGTCCTGTTACAGGGGAGAAGGCACGCTGGATTTGGCTTGGCTCAAAGTGAAGGATATCCATTGCAGCAGCGCAGTACGTCTCCATTCTGGCTAGGTTTTTGGTTTTTTTAAAACCATTTTAGCTGGGTGAAAAGGCTGAAGGACCTGAAAATTCAGCCCAGATTTAGGGAGAGGTTTGGTGAGGAGTGGGTTTTGTGAGTTGGGAGAAACATTTAGGAAAGAGTCTATGGCAGTGGTGGCTAACCTTTTTGGGCTCCTGTGCCAAAAACTGTGCACATGCTTGCATGCTCGCGCTCGCGTGCCAGCACCCAGACGGCAATGCGTCCCCCCATGTCCCTTATGCATGCACGTGTAATCCCTACCCACCCCTGTAGCCCCTTACCTGCACTGCGCCTCACAGCTGATTTTCGGCCAGTTTGAGGTCTTTTTTGGCCTCCCAGAGGCTTCAGGAAGGCTTCTGCAAGCTTTTCAGGCCAAAAACTAAGCCCGTTTCGTCACTTCCGGTATTTCCGGAAAAACAGGAAATGATGAAACAGGCCTAGTTTTCATCCTGAAAAGCCTGCAGAAGCCTTCCTGAAGTCTCTGGAAGGCTGAAAAAGGCCTCAAACTGGCCGAAAATCAGCTGTGAGGCATGTGCATGTGCAGTGAGGTAAGTTTGCCTGCAGCTTGCGTGCTGGCACAAATGGCCCTGCGTGCCACCTGTGGCACGTGTGCCATAGGTGTGCTATCATGGGTCTATGGCAATGATGCCTAACCTTTTTGTCATTGTGTGCTGAAAGTGTGCGCATGCACATGAGACAGCACGCACACATGCCTGAAAATACAATACAATGCACGTGCGATCCCCTCTCACTCATACCGTCCCCCTGCGTATACCTGTGGGACCCCATGCCCTCCCGCCCCCCTTGCGCATGCGCACGCATCTCCCGCATGCACCCCACTCTCCACGCATGCAAGGCATATAACAGAAAATCAGCTGGCTGGCAGGACGAGTGCGTGCATGCGCAGTGGAACTGAGCTGGGGTGATGGCTCGTGTGCCCGCAGAGATGGCTCTGCATGCCACTTTCGGCATGCGTGCCATAGGTCCGTCATCACAGGTCTATGGAGATTCTCAAATTATCCAGGTCATGGTTGTCCGCCAAAGGTGCTTTTTGTCAGGAAGCAACTGGACTTTCTGGTTTTTCTTAGAAGACGTTTCACTTCTCATCCAAGAAGCTTCTTCAGCTCTGACAGGATGGTGGGGAATGGAAGTTGAAGCTGAAGAAGCTTCTTGGATGAGAAGTGAAACGTCTTCAAAGAAAAACCAGAAAGTCCAGTTTTTTTGTTTATTTATTTATTTGTCAAGCAAGTATTAGATAACAGGTATAAGTATAAACATGATTATGAATACATGGAATGGGTATGAATAAAAAGAAACAATAGGACAGGGACGGTAGGCACGTTGGTGCGCTTATGCATGCCCCCTACAGACCTCTTCGGAAAGGGGTGAGATCAAGAGGAGACAGTCTAAGGTTAAAGTTTTTGGGGTTTTTGGGATGAAACCACAGAGTCAGGTAGAGTGTTCCAGACATTGACCACTCTGTTGCTGAAGTTCATATTTCCTGCAATCGAGTTTGGTGCAGTTTACTTTGAGTTTGTATCTATTGGGTGCTCTTGCATTGTTGCGGTTGAAGCTGAAGTAGTCTTTGATGGGTAGGACATTACAATGGATAATTTTATGTACTACGCTTAGGTCGGACCGTTGCTCTTGAAAAAGCACCGTTGGGACATTTAAGAAAGAGCTTCTCTGGGATATACCTTGATTTGTGCAACTATCCATAGCAATCTAACTCCTAACTTAGTAGCTCTCGTGGGGTCCTTGAGTTTGGTGGTTTATAAACTTCACTCCCTTCTAACACTGATGATGTTACCTAGTTGGGTAATGAAATGTCTGCAAGAAAGCCGCCAAGCTCAGAGAGCACCAAAGATTCCACAACTCCTCCTCCTCCTCCTCCTCCTCCTTTTTGAGCTGTGTGCACATCAACTCCCAGAATTCCCCTATGCTGCCTGGGGAATTCTGGGAGTTGAAGTCCACACAGCTCAAAGCTGCCAAGATCGAGAAACACTGCTTTTTAACCAACATACTACACTGCAACAGTAACCAGAGACAAAGAAGCAATAAGATGAACAAAGAATATGGGGAATTCTTGAAATAATTCATCCCTTTAAACCCCAATTGATGTTTGAAAACAGGCGGCAAAAATCTATTTAGGATGCAAAGCAAGTTTTGCACTAGAAATTGTCTCATTCTTCCTGCCTCTCTCTGATTCCTCAGATGATACAGTACACAAAGCAAAAATAAATTGGTTTTAGACCCGAGATTGCAAACAGAATAAGGGATCATATCAAGGTCTTTATTTTGATTTCCTCAGATGGGAAAAGCTTTGCATGATTGGCATAAAAATATTATCATTTTCTTACATGATGCACGGTATTCAGATAGCGGGATATTTTTGTGGGAACTGAAGTCCACACATCTTAAAGCAGGCTGGCCTGGGGAATTCTGGGAGCTGAAGTCCACATGCCTTAAAGTGGACAACGTTGCTCTAGCCAGTGTAGACAAAATTAGTCTTTAATCTTCTGTGGACTTTATCTCTTGCTCCATCTTACCTCGTAGTGTGGTAGAACCATGGTGACGCAGTGGTTAGAAAGCAGTATTGCAGGCAAACTCTGCCCACTGCCAGCAGTTTGATCCTGAAAGGCACAAGGTTGACTCAGCCTTCCATCCTTCGCAGATACATGAAATGAGGACCCAGATTGTTGGGGGCAACAGGCTGACTCTGTAAACTGCTTAGACAGGGCGGTAAAAGTACTGTGAAGTGATATATAAGTTTAAGGGCTATTGGAAGGAAGGAAGGAAGGAAGGAAGGAAGGAAGGAAGGAAGGAAGGAAGGAAGGAAGGAAGGAAGGAAGGAAGGAAGGAAGGAAGGACCATGGTGTCACAGTGGTTAGAAAGCAGTATTGCAGACAAACTCTGCCCACTGCCAGCAGTTTGATCCTGACCAGCTCAAGGTTGACTCAGCCTTCCATCCTTCTCAGGTCGGTAAAATGAGGACCCAGATTGTTGCGGGCAAGAGGCTGACTCTGTAAACTTTTTAGAGAGGGCTGGAAAGCACTGTGAAGCGGCATATAAGTCTAGGTGTTATTGCTATTCCTTCCTTCCTTCCTTCCTTCCTTCCTTCCTTCCTTCCTTCCTTCCTTCCTTCCTTCCTTCCTTCCTTCCTTCCTTCCTTCCTCCTTCCCTTCCCTTCCCTTCCCTTCCCTTCCCTTCCCTTCCCTTCCCTTCCTTCCAGTTAGAATGCAGTATTGCAGGCAAACTGCCCACTGCCAGCAGTTGGATCCTGACAAGCTCAAGGTTGACTCAGCCTTCCATCCTTCCCAGGTCCATAAAATAAGGACCCCGATTGTTGGGGGGGGCAACAGGCTGACTCTTGTAAACTGCTTAGAGAGGGCTGTAAAAGCACTGTGAAGCGGTATATAAGTCTAAGGGCTATTGCTATTGCTAGAAACCATCTTTCTTTGTCAGTTCCACGAAGTGAGTATAAATAACGGGAGGCACAGATCGGTGCTGAGGGGTGTGGGGGAGACGAGACCCAGAGGGGAAAGGGAATGAGCATTTAAATATCAAACCGCAACTTTCAAGGAACAAGTTGGAAGACTTCGCCGCCGATTCAGAGCGGCAGCTGTGGCGGTACGGAACAAGCCAGGGGAAGAAGAAAAAGAAGCCGGCAACTCCGCCGTGCTGTGCTGTTGGCTCAGCAGCTGGGAAGAAGAGGCTGGGAACTGGGGCAGCCTTTGCATGAGTCAGATTGCAGCTGCTGCTACAAACTGTTGCGGAGACGAAAGATGGGCGAGAAGGCTTCCTACAGAACAGAGTGCTTTCAGTTTAGGAAGCCCGGTAGCCAAGATTTTTTGGGTGTGTGTGTGTGTGGATTCAAACAATCTGCTAATCCAATGTTTTCCAACCTGCCTGTTGAGATGGGTGGGCTTCGGCGACTCCCAGAATTCCCCCCAGGCAGCATATGCTTTAAGGCGGGTGGACAATTGCAGCGATTTGCTTAAGGACCTTGGCAAAAAAGTCATACAATCAGGCACATGATTCAGTCAGTTGTCTTGCAGGGGAAATGCTGGTCCCAATTCTGGTCGTACGTTGAGGATTACCCCCCCCCCCTTGATTAAAAGTGGAAAGTGAAAAAGTCTAGAATTAAGGGAGCAACAGGGGTCATCTGTGCGTCTGTCCGTCTGTCTGTCTATCATGTATCAATATCTATCATCTGTCTGTCTATTATCTTTCAATCTATCTATCAATCAATCTATTATCTATTTATTATCTGTCGATTATCTCTCTTATATCTATCTATCTATCTATCTATCTATCTATCTATCTATCTATCTAT